TTTGAGGAATGTATTGTGCGTTGTCAAACCGTGTGTTTGTTGCAAAGCACCTGCCAGACTTTTATAGGAGGATTTGTTGTGTGTTAAATGAGGTGTTAATGGACCTGACCGTTGGACATCAATGACCAGTCCGTTGGGCATTGAAACAAAAATTAGACCGTATCTTTGAATGATAGGTTTTCGGACGACATTCGTGTCTGCAGGTCACCCGCGCACACGAGTCACGGTTCTTCTTCTCCATTTCGGGATTTGATCGGCACCCCCTGCGCGTAAGAGAGAGCCTTTACCCTTAGGAATCTTAACTCCTTAAAAGAGGCTTCCCTTTATAAGGGGGTGAAAATCCCTTGAGTTTTTCGGTGTGGGATAAAACACACTAGAAACCCATCATTTTCCCAGTTTTTCCATTTCAACGAGTGAACTTCGAGAATCAATTTCTCATTCACCCGTTATCCGTTTTGAGTGTACCATATATCGAATTGTAGCCCTTAACAAGGACAACCCGAAACCACTTTAACCCGACCCAAATCGGAAGTGGACTCCACTCAAATAATTGCCCCAAAATCACCATTTAATGCAATTTTTAACACATTTTTCCAACAAAAATTGCCCATTTCATGTCTAGCTAGTCACGTTAGTTACTTTGTATGGGGTGACTGATTCTATGTCTATTCGTAGGGCTTACGATTGGATCTATTGTAACTATCTGGAGGGTGTCTTGTATGTTTTTTGATATTAATATAAAAGGCGCTCTTTTATTTTCAAAAAATTAAACAGAATTATCATTTAAAAATATTCATTTCATTTTTAAGTGAAAGGCTGAAAACATTTTTTTTAAATGTTTGCAAACACAGTCTTAATTCGCATTTAAATATAACAATAAATAATAGGCTATGTAAAATTTTAATGGTGTATGAGGTGTCCACTGTAACTTCACAAATCTAGGGTTAATTAAAGATATTACTTTAGATTATTCTTATATATAGAATTGAGATCGATATCAAACTTGTATTGATAAAATAAACATGACATATTTTTTGTTTCATATTTGAATATATATTTGGCTACGCTATGGTTTTCTAAAAAAGAAAGTATAATATTTAAATTTAAAGGACTTTCATTAATTTTATTATTTGAAATAACTAAAATTAAATGATAGGCAATGTGTTGCCTTTCATTTTAGACAAATGTATTTTAGTACTAAATAATAGATAATAATGTTTCCATAGGTTTAAATATATGCGTAATATGTATGTGCGCGCGCATACATACATATGTTCAAGTAAAAATTATTTTGGAAATGAGAGTATATTATAGAGCATTCATTGCTTCAAAATGTTTTATGCATTTTGAGAACGTGAATTAGATAATGTTTTATGCATTTAATTAATTCAATTGAATTTTAAAAAGTTAATGTTTTTAGGGGTGCGATGCGTAACCCTAGTATATTGCCGCCGATTGAGGGTTCCCAGATGATTGGATTGGATTGGATTGGAGTGTAGGTTAGTAGAAATAAGGCAGGGGTCTAAGGTAAACATTGGCTCGATAGTTTCTACACTATTTTTCGTTTTTTCGTTGCAATTTTGAGTCCGGCTGAGAAGCATCTCTGGCCGAGGTTTTTTTTTGTGTTTCCTAGTAAACGTGTGTTTTGTATGCACTGTTTGTAGTCCGGATTTTCTTGTGTTGTCTTTACCTTTTCACAATGGAGAAAACAGTTGAAGAATACGGGAAGATGACGATTGAGGAAGAGGAAAACAGCGGTTTTGTGTTTGATCGAATCTGGAGCGCTAAATATTAGTAGTGGGGCAGGAGAGAGCGAGCCCACGCTTCTCTCCTATTGCTAGGGTCGTCACGGACAAACCTGTTCGTCCTATCTCTGTTCAGGAGACTATGGCTATGATTTGGCGACCAAGTAAAGTGGTGAGTATAGAACAGATAAGAGATATGCGTTTTATGATTCAGTTTTTTCATGAAAGCGATATCTCACGAGTCTTGCAGGATGGCTCGTGGTCCAATGATCAAAATCTAGTTGTTATAAGCGGGGTGGAAGCAAAGGATAGACTGCTTGAGGTAAAGCTGAACCATGCAGACTTCTGGGTGAAGATTCAAAATTTACCACTCAGTTTTATGACTGAGAAAGTGGCAATCGGTATACAAATTGATGAAAGAACGCTAAACGGGAAAAGTAAAGAGTTTGGTCGTATACGTGTGCTGTTAGACATAAGAAATACTTTGACAGGCTTTCTAACCTCTATTTTATTTGTGGAGTTCTAGGTCACACTGACAAATAGTGCCCACCAAACACCAATGAGGGGCAATGGGTGGGTGGCAAGCCGTACGCCCCCTAGATGAGGGCAGATGTGAGGCGGTGAGGAATTCATCCGGAGAATAAATGGCTCATCTCAAGTAGTGGGAGCGAGCAGAAGAACACAACGGAAGCAGGGTAAAGACAGAGTCAGCTCATAGGATACCAAGAAAAGGGTGTTGATGTAGGATGTTATTTGGTTCAGGGGCTGATCTCAAGAGAAAAAGAGAAAGTGGGAATGGAAGGGGAGGAAAACCAGGATAGAACACTAGAGGAAGGCGAATCGAGGAAGCGTAGGGCAGTGAATTTGGAGAACCAGGTGGAGGTTCAAGTTAATATGGAGGTATATGGAAGCAGATCAAAAAATGGTGTTGCAGCGGTGCTACTGAATCAGCACTGCCTGGAATTTCATTAGTTGTTGCTTGTGGAAGTGTTCCTTTGGAGGTGGTTGGGCAAACCTCTTTTGCCTTCCCGATGGCTGGTCAAATCAGAATGGTGTCTTTGGAGGTAATTGACCAAACCTCTTCTCCCTTGTTGGTGGCTGGTAAAACCAGATCTATGATTCTATTATTTCTTCTCAGTTTTTGGACTCCAGATTTTTATCTATTTGTCTTAGTAGCAAGTACAATGATGTTGATAGAATAGTCTACCATTATGTGGAGAGCGATTTGGCACGGCCTTTCGGGGATAGCAAGTTCTATGTCTCACTCGAGAGTTGCTTTGAGATATTGCTTTGCTTTGTCTATTGGTACCTTCATGATCATTAATAAATGAGTATTTTTCTTTCAAAAAAGCTAATGTTTTATTAAAATTCACGCCGTGCAATGCACATTTGATAATGTAGCTATAGTCAATAAATAAATCTGCAACTCACATTTACAGGAGACATATCTCGAGTAAAATTTCAGAAAGTCTCAAGATCATGATGTCGTCTGAAGAGATGACTTTTGTGCATGTATATATGCGAAAGCAATATCTGATTGACAATAAAATATCATTAATAACTTCCCATTGTTGTCTACTTTAGTTTCCGAAAAAACGATGCGTAAATTTGAACGAAATAAAATTCATTTTATTTTATTGAGGGAAAATGATCAAATATACATTTTTATCATTTCCTATATTCATCATTCAAGTATTTATATTACAAAAAGTATGAGATAAGTACATTTACTTTAAAAGCATATTCAATCAAGCAATTTAACCTCCCATAACAATTTATTTTAATAAAACTTGATTAATACAATTGATAAATACTATATAAATAATTTATATAAATTTGAAAATAATTTCATATAAAATATTATAAATTCAAAAGTAGATAAAAAATTTAAAAGATAAAAAAACCCAGAAAAATGAAAAAAATAAAGTGAAAGTGTAGAAAATATAAAATTAAAATGTAATAACTTCTTAAAAGATGTAGAATACACAAATAACTCCCAAACTATAATAAAAATATAGACCTTGACCTTCTTAAGTGCTACTCGTATTACATTTGGTATTTTAATACTTCGTATAAAAAAATCTTCTCTTTCCATCTTCAAATACTTATATATTTTAAGAAGCGCTTTCCTAGCATGAATTTGGAAAATACTAGCCGATGGATAATAAGGTATCCAAACTATATAATATTACGAGAGCTTAAGCAAGAAAGGCGATTAAGAAGATCGATGAATACTTTAGTGTCATGTATGTATGTATTGATTATGATTTCGAGTTTACAAGGGGGTATATATAGGAAAATTTAGGTCTGTGCCTTTAAAATGGATCTGACAGATCTGATTACATAAAAGAACTGATGATATAAAAATCAAATCTAGAAAATACACGTAAACATATGAACTGTACAAAAATATAAATGATATCTGGTAAGAGTATGTAGCCGCTATCCAGACCCAATGGTCATGAGACCGGGGGTCTAAGTCTATATACTCTATCACTAGCTTTTCAAAAAAATATTTTTCTAATAAGGAATTTCTTCAATACCAACCTCATTTCACTACTACAATTTTAGACCTAATGTAACATTAATGATGTAACATATCTATAATAGTGTTACCTATTTCTCTAATGTAACACTTTTTAGACCTAGTGTAACACTTTCTAGAAGTATAAGTGTTACATTAGGTACTATAAAGTGTTACAATTGGTCAAATGCAACACCACCAAATGTAATGGTAAAAAAATGTTACATTTTCTCTAAAAAGTGTTACATTAGAGAAAATGTAACATTTTTTTACCATTACATTTGCTGGTGTTGCATTTGACCTATTGTAACACTTTATAGTACCTAATGTAACACTTATACTTCTAGAAAGTGTTACACTAGGTCCAAAAAGTGTTACATTTGAGAAATAGGTAACACTATTATAGATATGTTATATCTCTAATGTTACATTAGGTCTAAAAATGTAGTAGTGTTTGCAATTAGGAGACATTAACTTTTTTCCCTTAATTAATTTATTTGAATGAGCATATATCTGAATCATTTTCCTTTTCTAAAATATACTCTTGGGATGGGATCACATGTAACATATATAATAAAATAATACATATCCTATTATCTTAAATACGATAGTATGATTTCAACCAAAAAATTGATGTACAGACAAAAGAAGACAAATTGAATGCTCGTTGTATATTTCTACAATACATACATGTAGATGGGAGGTTCCCCCCCCCCCCCCCCCCCCCCCCCCCCAAAAAAAAAATTCATTGTCCTCTCATTCTACCCTCCATCTTCAAAGCATGAAGAAGGAAATCACTCCAAGAATCTATAGGACCAGGGAGACACCAATGTACACAATCATTGTACAACACTACATTCTCTTGTGGCCAATGCCCATATCGACTAGGATGACCGTCTGGTCTCAATAGCATAGCATATGTCACGTCCAACAACTTATATTTCAACCCTTTCATCTTTCCTTCCCTTTCTGCTACACTAAATTCCTCCATTATGATCAAGTACATTTCCAAATTTGCTCCCTCCAGAAGTGTTTCATTGCTTCTAAGTGGCGTTTGCCTTAAACAATTTCCACCATTGTTCCACTCCCCACCTTCAAAGTGTGCCGGTGCAAAAGTCCTTAAAAATGTTACACCTTTAAAGTTCTTTAGATTGTTTATAGTTTTAAAAGTGGTCTTGAGAGCTTTTCGATAGCCGTAAGACATTGGGAGGTCAGTCACATTTTTTATCAAACAATAACGACACCCAATTCTTTTGTTGTTCTCGAAGTAGATGCTGGGACGGTAGAACCAGTGTGCGGCATTTATGATGACATAGTCGAATTTCTCAATTTGAGTTGTCCACTCCTCATTGGCCTGGTCAAGGTAGAGATTGAATAAGCCGGTGTGGGTTGGACCATCTAAATCGGCCTCTTTGGCCTTCACCAAGAATGGTGACCAAAATGTTGCCATGGTGAAGTTGAATGTTGTATACCTCCACTGTTTGAAATTTTCGTCTTTAGATGTTGAAACATCAATGGGATATTCTACCTAAAACATATTATATAATTAAATCACTCCATAGAAAAGAACATTACCAATTTGTAACAAATATATTATATCATCATTTAAATGATGATATAAAGACTTAAATGATGATAGAAAGAGAAAAGAATGAAGAAAGAAATAGAAAAATGTAGATTCTATGGTACCTTTAAGGTACCATAGAAGTTGAATTGGTTACATATATCATCATTTAAGTCTTTATACTACAAAAAGTATGAGATGAGTACATTTACTTTAAAAGCACATTCAATCAAGCCATTTAACCTCAGCTCCTAGAACCAATTGTTTTTAATAAAACTTGATTAAAACAATTGATAAATATTATATAATTTATATAAATATGAAAATAATTGAATCATAATATAAAAAATATTATAAATTCCAAAGTAGATAAAAAAGTTACAAAGTTAAATAAAAACTAAAAATTAGAAAAATGAAAAAAAAAAGGGGGAAGTGTAGAAAATATAAAATTAAAATGTAATAACTTTTTAAAAGATGTAGAACGCACAAATAACTCCGAAACTAAAATGAAAATAAGGCCTTGACATTCTTAAGTGTCTACAGATTTAATTAAATTTCTTCAAATTTTAACAAATTCTTAAAAAATAATATATAAATGCGCTATTACATGTAATAATCGGTTAAAAGGCTAGATTGGTCGACTTTATAAAGTGAACGTACTTATGTATTTTTTTTATTATAGAGGTTTAAGTGATGAATTAAAAACATTGTATAAAAATCGTGATTTTGAGCGATTGACGAATACTCATTAACATTATAATTTCCCTTTTTTTTATACAAAACGTAACGTGAAATTCCAATTTTACCTTTCCTCCTATCTAGAGAATACAAATGCATCTTTTCTATTTGAAAATGTACATATTTATTACTAAAATAAAGTTCATTTACAAAAATGTGACTACTGACTAAAGTAGTAATGAAATCATAGTAACTTATGTTCAATATTTGAACATAAGTTACCATGAGTCCATGACATTAAATTGCAGTAACTGTTAGTCATATTTGTATCGATAAGTTTTATTTTAGTAATATTTGTGAAAAAACCTTTTCTATTTTCGTAGAGCATGATATATTAAGACCAGAGATTACATCCTAAAAGGTCAACCTGGTAGGAGGAGAAGGAGTCCAAAGTCTTATATGATATTTATTGGTTTATAGTTTTTTGGTGTGAGACGAATACTTTAACACGCCTCCTCAGCCCGAATCGAGTTGAATAATATCGGGGTGTATAAATGGGTCAAACAAACCTTTAACAAGTTACTCTTAATCATGAGTGATAAACAAGCATTCAAACCACAATCGGACCTCACTCTGATACCATATTAAGACCTCGTAGGAGGAGTGATCCAAAATCTTATATAATGTCTTATTGTTTTATAGATTTCTGATGTGCAACGAATACTTAACATGGTAATCTACAAATCCATACCGAAGTGGTTACTTTAATTGTAGCCTTTACCAGTGGGCGTAGCTCAACTGGTAGCGAGGGAGTGCCACAAGGGTTAGGTCCCGGGTTCGAATCCCGGCAACTGTGATGAGAGGTCACTATGCTAAAAAATGCATAGGGCCTCTTCAAGTACTGGGGACATAGTCCCACTCTCTATCTGTCAGATTGTGATTATAGTCAGATTTACATTCTCTCAACATACCGTCCGGTCGATGTTGGAGGCCCCTCAGGGATGAGGTATCATCCTTTTTTTAATGGTAGCCTTTGTACTAAATTGTAACTGTGATGCAATATTGCTTTAACCTTTAGTACATATCTATATATGGAATGATTACTTATACTCTCTCCGTCCCTATATAAAAGCCCTCATTCATTTTACATACTTCTACAATTTAAGATAGTGGGATTATTTGACACTGTTTGACACTATTTGGACATTGTTTGACACTGTTTTGCACTGTTTTGTTTGTCAAAAAGGAAAGATGACTTTTATTTAAGGGCTGCCCAAAAAGAAAAAAGGAACTTTTATTTAGGGGCAAATGGAGTATTACATTCAGTATTACCAAGAAAAAGTTAATTTTACTTTGGTGACCATTCTAAATTGAAATGAGGATTTCATTTTAGGAAGGAAGAGTACAAAATAGTACGGTACAAATTATTGCGTATTCATCCGATCCTAGACACCTAGGGGTATGTTTGTCAAATGGCTTATCAGCCACCTTTTAGCTATTTGTTTGACCCATTTCAGTTGTTTGATTAGCCAAAGAAGCTAATAATAATTTTTGGTAAATGACTTTTAAAATTAGCTTGTTGAGTTTGGAAAGCTGAAATAATGGATGGTTGAGGAAGCTAAGGGGAACAACTTCTTCATTCAGTTCAATTTATTCCCATAAGGGTATAACTCAAAACTCCCAAAGTGATTGAATATAGCTCCAATTTATTCCCATTGTGGTTTTGCTCATTTTTTTAACTTGGTCAACTCAATTATTTTGGTTATCACTTTTTCTTTTTTTCACTCCTTTTGCTTTCATTGTTTTGAGTTAGCATTTTTTAATTAATCATTTAAGTAGTATATAGTAATAATTACTCTAATTATTTTAAACAAAACTTGTTTAATCAAATACGTACTACTATCTAGACAAATAATATATGCTTAACTAATATTTTATATTATTAGTTATGCTCTCTATCTTGAATTAATCTGATGTTTTTGAATTAGATGATTGAGTGATTATAAAATTAGATACTATAAATTTTTGTAGTATGATGAACATTCGATATATCAAAGTAGATATTAAAATAGATTTTATTCAACAAATTTTAAAATTTCCAGTTATAAAAATGATTTATATTGTTGAAGTAACAATAGTTATAAAATTTTCATTCTTAGCAATAATAAAATACAATGAGTATTATTATGTCTTTATATGTCTTTTTACACTCTATCAGTCATTTCGAAACAGCCAATTTTACCAAATAGTTATTTATAATCAGCTATCATAACCAGCCGGTCAAAACAGCTAACACAATCAGCTGTTAGGAAACAGCTGACACAACCAGCTAACAACAACGACTAATAGCCATTTACCAAACAAGGCCCTAGTATGCTAGTACACCGATAATGCAATGCTACATTTTATGTCATCCGATTTTCGTATTTATTTTGAACAAATTCGAACCAACAAATGTTGTTTCATATTGTTTTATTAAGTCATACTTAAAGTCAAAATGATACTAATTTTTTTAGCATTGATCGAGCTTTAATAATAATACTCCGTAATTCTATCATTTTTCAATTCGTTTAACAGTTTGTGCAACATCTAATTCTAAACATTTAGGAGCGGGCATTGTTGCGCGACCTAACTAGTTTATAGATGGTGTTGTCAATCAAGACAATTAGGATGTTGTAAGTTGGAGTGTCTTTAATTACAGCTCAAACTAGATCGATCCTAAATAGATTAGATGAGATCTGACTAAATCAAATTTTAATAACCTTAAAATATACTCCATTCGGTCCTTATTAAACTTTACACTTTGACTTCACGTATATTAAGGAAATAAATTTGACTTTACTGTACAGTACACTGTTTAGCACTGTTTGACACTGTTTCGCACTGTTTTACACTGTTTGGTGTAGATTTGTTTGTCAAATAAGACAAATAAGGAAGTATAAAGTTTAATATGGGACGGCCCAAAAAAGAAAGTGTAAAGTTAATTAAGGACCGGAGGGAGTACATAGATATACATCTATATATCACTTTAGACTAAATCACATCAAACAAGGATTAAATATAGAAAGTATTAAATTTGAGCCCAATTAAAAACTAGTTGGATGAAGATGGAAGATGGATGTCATTTTAAAAAGCTACTACATCCCGCTCATTTTATGTGTCCTACTTTTACTTATCACAATTATTAATAAAATGATTGAAAAAGTAAAAGTTGTGTTTGAGATTTGAGTATAATAAAATGAAATGTTGTTGACCATATAATAGTATTTCTTTTCAAAAAAGAAAATTTGACATTTATTTTGGAACAACTCAAGAATGAAAGTAAGACATATAAAATGAGAGTACTCAAGTAAATACCCGAGACAAGAGGCAAATCAATGACTGCATATGGTTTCTTCCGATAGAGTCTCCGACGAAGGCCAGAGACTTGTTCCGGACCGTATCCAAGAACTGGTACGGGTCAAACACCGGCAAATCGCAGCCGTCCGGCTGCCACCTCCACTTCATGAACCCGTCATCGGGCCGCCCGTACTTCATGCAGTTCTGGTGCTCGTGGATCGCCCAGCACGTGGCGTTGGTGTAATACGGAGCGTCCGGATTCGGAACCCATTCCCCGGCCAAGATGTCGCAGTCGCCGCCGCCTTCGGCTTCCATCATCTTGATGATGGTGTCCACATCTCTCACTTCCCCATGGTCAGGCCAGAACAGAGGAAGTAAGGTTGTTAAGGATAATAATAAGATTAAGGCTACAAGTGTTGTGGTTCTTTTCGGACATTTTTGTTCCATGGATGGAGTAGTAATAAAGTGATTTGAGCTGAATGAGCAGCATAATATGGGTTAAAGCTAGAGAGGAAAAAATATTCAGAAGATTTCAAACAGCAATCAAATGCTTAATTTCTTGCTTGCCGGCCGTTAATTAAGGAAAGGTGAAAGTGTGAAACATTATTTTCACTCACATTTCAGTCCACGGTGAACAATTATTAAATGTTACGTATTGAATTTCATAATACAAGTTAACTTTAATCATGCATATAAAGAAGTCAAATCACAATTAAACTTGGCTCTAATGTGACACTCGATCCAAATTTCACTCTCAAAAAGAACCGTAACTAAGAATCTTAAATAGTGTTTTGCAGGGGCGTAAACATGAACGAAGAATGAGGTGAATGCAAATAATACACCGAAAATACAAAGAATTTTCAAATTTGGGATGGGCCGTGGCCCGATTGACCCCTCTCTACCTCCGCTCCTGATGTTTTGTTAATTATAATTAAGAATCCAGTGCAGGACAAATAATTTAAAAAGCGTCTTACTCCCACACTCAAAACGACTTCCTTCAACCTTTAATTTAAATTAAAAAAACGCGCGTGAACAATGATATGTAAATCATGTGCACTAAAATGTAATTTGTGTTACTGTAAATGCAATCTCACGTAGCGGCAAATATAAACTCTTGAACTTTGAGTCCATTATAGACACTAAAAAAATGTAACTCACATTTACAGAAAATATAATTTGAGGCAAGTTGAAATGTAAATTCTATAATACGAAGTATAAAATATAAAGTTTTGACTTCAGTATAAGCAATGAAAAGTGGAATCTAATTGCACAATTAGGTTACTTAAATAGTGAACATGTTTTGTTTTGATACCTGGACTACGTTTCATGTCTAAATAGAGAGTAAGGACATTGTAAATTGTGTACACAAAAATGTAACTCACGTTACTAGAAATGCGATCTTAGGAAGTGACAAATGTAAGGATGTTTTTAATTGGACTATTTTCAGTCCCAGACTAGACCGGACTTAAATCGACCAGACTAGACCAGACATAAACAGACCAAACCAGACCAGACTTGACTTCCTTAGTTATAAAATACACAGAGACCAGACGTTTACCAGACCAGTTCAGACCAGACTAGACTTAAACAGACCAGACCAGACTAGACTAGACCAGCAAATTAATTAGAGTCCAAGTAAAAACGTCCTATCTCGGCTCGCTTTTCGAAAAGTACATTAGATAAGAATTATTGTCTGTGAGATTAATTCTTATTGTACATGTTAAGAAGACTTCTCATTTAAACTCAACCCTATCTTTTATAACCCGATATAGGTGCCATCTCCAGCAGTCCGACACCTCCAGCCTGACATCCAGCCCCTACCCTCCTCACCATACCAACCTCAAGCTGGTCTTTTCCAGTTTTATCCTCAACCCACTTGACCACTCTCTCCCTCACCCACTTCCACACCAGCCACTTCCCCTACACCTTCCCCACCGTCCAATCCGACAGCGATCCCTAGCCCACTGACTTAATCCCGAGCACCCTCTCCTCCTTCCCCTGTTCGGATGGCTCATAACATTCACCGAATGCGCACCAAAGCTAAGACGCATTTTAAACCAAAAACCATTTTGAATTTAAATGTTACGCTTTAGCTCTCACGAATGATCCCACTTGTTTTTCATAAGCAAATAAAAATTTAGTTTGGCGGGCAGCTATGACAGAGGAATTTAATGCTCTCATTGCTAATAAAACTTGGGATTTAGAACCTTGTGATAAGACTAAAAATGTGGCTGGTTGTAAATGGATCTACAAGACTAAATATCGATATGATGGGTGTTAGAAAATTGATGTAACGTACCTCGAAAGTACGGCAACGGAAGTTTAAAATTTTTCCAAACAGATCTTCCCTGATTATGACAAAATAACGAATACGATAATAATAACAGATCTGAGTTAGAACTTACAGATCTTCCAGCCTAGCGGTGATAAGCCTTGACCTTTGGTATCCACGTGATTTCTCCTTCCCGAAAGAACGGTTAGATCTCCCTAAGAGAAAGGCTAGGAAATCTCTTCGCATGGAAATAAACTGTTAATACTGAATCTGAAAACTGGTCTCTTAATTATGAAGGAGAAGGATGTATTTATACTAGTTCGAAACTAGTTTCCCAATCACAATGAAAGTCTTTCTAATTAATGAGTTCTAATCCTACTAGGACCAATACTCCTAATTAATTAAATAAGTAGATAAAACAAAACAAAATAATAAAAATAATAATTGAGATGTGGCTGCACGCCACTTTCTAATTATTATATATTAATATTTATTTTATTTACTTTTCTTTTAATTCCAAATTACAAAAGAAAATATCTACTTTATTTAATAATAAATACATCTTATTTAAGTATGATAAATCTAATTTATCTTACTTAATTAATTCTATCAAATAGAACTCTCCTTCAGCTTCATGAATTAAATATGTTTAATCTAATTAATATTTAATTCATTTTCAGTATTACGAATTAAATATTATTTAATCCAATTAATAATATTTAATTCCTTCTAACAATTCAATCGGAAGGTATAATCACTTGTTGTGTGACCCATAGGGCCTTATATATTAAGCACTAATCAAATTAAGGTCTTAGCGAATCCCTAGACGATTCTCCAGACAAACTTAATATACAAGGACGTTTGCGAGGACTATACAAACTCCCTGTAATATAGAGCTCATAGTGATACGGTCCTTTCATTCAGCGAACATTCAACTAAGTCTAGAACATGATATAGTGTCTATCCCAATAACTCAGTCTCTGTCTCTCAATCTTTCTAGATGATCCATAACGATCATATTCGATATCCAAAACGAATATATCTTTGCATTGGCCAATGACTTTATGATCCATCTAGATATGAGAAGTAGAATGTTCTCTCTTAATCTATTATGAGGAATGAATCCTTTCTTGGCTCAACTACTACTCCATGTGCTTCGTGATGCACCCAACACATGCCGTATCTACCCCGATTGGAGTGCAAGCGTTGGTCATGGTCAAAGTACATCACTCCGCACATGTAGTACGTATTGACCTCAAGTCGGAGGACTATTACACTACTCTATACGCCGATAATCCCATAGACACATGAATAGAACTTATCAAATGGTTTCTCGGTGGGTATGCCAATATTCTCTAAAATATCTATGTGACCATCATGAATTACAGGAACTCATAGTCGTGAGATCAACTATACTTTCTAAAAGTATGATGCAGTCCACATACCAATCTTATCGCATATCATCAATATCCCATTCTTGATGATCATTGATTGGGGCTATTTTAGGACCTTATGTTATATCATATAAGCTCCCACTTACTTATTGACAACATAAATCCAAGGGAACACAATTATGAATAAAACATTGACAATCGAAAACAATCATTCATAAAGTGTAATACCGTGTATATATCAAATATAAAAACTAAATGTGATCAAGTACATATGTCTTTAAAGAAATGATTGTCGCTAGGACATATATACTAACAATGGGCCCATAGAGCAGCATAAGGCTCGTTTAGTTGCTAAGGGTTTTAACCAACAGGCTGGGGTTAACTTTTGTAAAACTTTTAGTCCTGACATCAAACCCATTATTGTTTGTCTCGTTCTTTCAATTGCTTTTTCTCTAGGGGTGACAGTACGTCAGTTGGACGTCAAAAAATGCATTTTTACATGGTCACCTCACTGAAGAAGTCTACATGTGTCAACCACATGGGTTTGTCCATTCACATTATCCCACCCATGTTTGCCACCCATGTCTATTTCTTTAACAAAAATCAATATGAAGACAAAACAAATTGAATGCTCATTGATGATTTCTAAAAGCATTGCTTCTAAAAAAACTTATTGTTCTCTCATTCTACCCTTCATCATCAAAGCATGAAGAAGGAAATCACTCCAAGAATCTATAGGACTAGGGAGACACCAGTGTACACAATCGTTGTAAAATGTTACATTCTTTTGTGGCCAATGCCCATATCGACTAGGATGACCATCTGGTCTCAACAACATAACATATGTCATGTCCAACAACTTATACTTCAACCCTTTCATCTTCCCTTCCCTTTGTGCTATTCCAATGTCCTCCATTATGATCAAGTACATTTCCAAATGTGTCCCTTCCGGAAATGTTTCATTGCTTCTAAGTGGTGTTTTCCTTAGACAATTTCCACCATTGTTCCACTCCCCACCGTCAAAGTGTGCCAGTGCAAAAGTCCTTGAAAATGTCACACCATTGAAATTCTTTAGATTGTTTATGGCTTTAAAAGTAGTCTTGTGAGCTTTCGATAGTCGTAAGACATTGGGAGATCAGTCACATACTTGATTAAACAATAACGACACCTAATTGGTTTGTTGCTCTCAAAGTAGATGCTCAGACAGTAGAACCAATGTGCAACATTTATGACGATGTAGTCGAGTTTCTCAATTTGAGTTGTCCACTCCTCATTGGCCTCGCCAAGGAAAGAGATTAAATAAGCCTGTGTGGGTTGGACCATCAAAATCGGCCTCTTTGCCCTTTACAAAGAATGGTGACCAAAATGTTTCCATGGTGAAGTTGAATGTTGTGTACTTCCATTGCTTGAAAATTTTATTTTTAGATGTTAAACATCAACATGATAGTCTACCTAAAACATACGGAGTATTATGTAATTATTGAATCACTACATTCAAAAAAACATCACCAATTTGTAATAACTAAATAAATCCGAGTAGATTTCACTTGTTAAGACAAGTAACTCAAAATGAGTTGATCTATTTCCACGGATTCATGTTAAGAGGGCAGATCATATCAGGACAGCCTGATGGGAAACGCCGTCAGGCCTAGGCCACATGGGTCTCTTCCAGGTGATTTTTTTGATAAATTGTTTGAACATGTTCTTCATCAAATCTAGTTTTTGAACACCAAATTTTAGCTAAAAATTCAATCGGTAAGTCAACCAAATGTGGAATTGAAACGTATTGCGCTGTTTATGTATATATAAAGCGCAATATTTGTAAATAATTTATTTGACTGCCTTGCCGATTGCATTTTAAGCTAAAATT